TTGTTTATTTAACAAAAATAATAATAATAATAATGCGTACAATATGCATTGAATTGGACGAATAACCTTTGTTAGCGACTAATTGTGTAGGATATAACTATTTTTTATCGAATCGGTATCGATATCGACGATACTGCCTTGAAAAATATCGGTATCCTATCGAAAACAAAATAAGGGGTATCGCCCATCCCTACTGCACGACAGAATAGATCATGACGTCATCGAGGGTCTTGATCTTACTGCCATCTAAAATACTATTTTTTAAAACATTTCTATCAGCCAATGATAATTATAAAAGAAAACGTCACGAGCATAGATCAGTGGCCGAGAGCGCATCTGATTGACAGATAAACCACAAGCTCTATCAGTTATTGTTCATGTTCTGGTTATTTTGTTTCAGTGTACAGTTTGTTAATATTGTGCAAAGCATACAGTCATAGTAAACTTCATCATTCAGCTGAACTGTGCACATTTATTTTAGACACCTCATGTCTTGTTTAATTCATGTGATAAACGCATGTCCCTGCTGAGCTGTGGGCTATGACTAATTTCACGGGCATAACAGACAAAATTACAATTTAGGTATCTTTATTTTTTTTTTTTTTTACAAATAAAGCTTCATATTATGAGAAGGATACATTCTACGACCTATCCTGCAGTCATCATGGTGAGATTAGGTTCCTTCAATCTAAAAAAACAAGAATCGAAAAAGAGTCAAAAACAACAGTAAGGAATCGATTCTTGGAATCGATTCCCGGAATCGGAATCGGACTCCATTCCAAAAATTTCAAAATAGCCCTACTATTAACCTGGACATGAAAGTTTCAGAATCACCTACTATTCCGGATCCTTCTTTGCCAGAAAAAAAAATCCCTGTCTTTTTTAATGTTCTTTAAAAATGACTTTTAGTTTTTCAGTCACCTGGCTGCTGAGAGAGAAGAGAGAGACAGGATCTCTGTGTATCTGGAATAGCATTTGAAATCTGATACAGCAAAGACATTTACTGTTTACAAAGATCCACTGCTACTTTCTCCCACGTTCAGCAAGGTAACTACTTTGAGATCAGCAGTTCTACGCTGTGCTGTCTGCAATGCTTACAATATGCTGCTTATCTCCATACATCATTATTGCTTATAAGCTAGCCGCTTGCTGACACTCCTTTAAGGTTGTAGAATATATAGGAGAGCTCAGCGAAGCATTTTAGTCTTAGGAAAGCCACATCTTGGCTCAGACCAGATCAACAACACCCTCATTGTCAGGAGGTTAGACATGTACTGTTATTATTTTGGGAACATATTTCCCTTGATCAGTGGTTTCCAACCCTGTTCCTGGAGCCCTCATGAACTATTGCATGAAACTGACCCAGGCATTTGAGTCTGCTTGCTGGGGTGGCAGGGTGCTGAGTGAAGCTTTTTCAGGGGATAGATGTTTCTTTGGTGTCAGCTGTTTAAATGCCTCCTCAATTATCACTTGTGAATCATCTCCTGTATCAATATTAAAGTTAAGTGATTTCTGACCTATTTTCATTAGTGCATTACAATGCTATATAAATGCAATACAAGGACATGTACCGGTAATAAAAATGAATAATAATAATAATAATAATAATAATAGCTTATTCGTAGAGAAGAAGAGACAGAACACAAGCACAGCTTTGCAGGAAACATACACTTTAAAAGATGAGTGTAATTTTAATTGTAAAATATTGTAAAAATGCTACGAAAAAAAAATTAATATGTAAACAGTAAGTTCCCGCACTATATACAGGGGAAAACTGTAAAAGAGCTAACCAGACATTTAATGTAATTTTACAGTAAAATGCTGTTAATTGTACAGTTTTTTTTTAGAACAAATCAACATATAATTTACAGTCAAAAACTGTAAACTGATATTCCCAGAATTCCCTGTGTGACACTCCACATTTGAAAGTATTTTGTTTAAATAATCATGTGTCTTAATTGTTTTTGTTAAAGGGGTCATATGATGCGATGTCAAGTTTTCCTTTCTCTTTGAAGTGTTACAAGCTCTTGGTGCATAAAGAAGATCTGTAAAGTTGCAAAGACTAAAGTCTCAAATCCGAAGAGATATTCTTTATAAAAGTTAAGAGTCAGCCACGCCTACCTAAAATGGCTCATTCTAACACGCCCCCACATGTCTACCTCACGATGTGGGAAGATTTGCATAACGCCGCCCAAATGTTCACGCAAAGAAAGAAGGCGTAACTTTTATTCTCGCTGTAGTATTGTTGCCGCCGCCGCCATGTTGTGAAGGCGCTGTGTGTTTCGTTGTGAAAACGAAACTACTTTGTTTGGTCTTCCAAAAGAGGACACGACTAGAAATCAGTGGTTAAGTTATATTTACAACACTGTTCCAGAACAGTTCAACCGAAATATTTAGATGTGTGCAGCGCATTTTATGGAGGACAAGGACTGTTTCCTGAGAGA